AAAAACACCCGGAGAAAAATGGAGGACAAACATTTGGCTTTAGCCGAGTTCAACCAGCTCTTTGGAATTCAGGTATGAAAAATATTATAAAAACATTTTCACAGGACCGCATAAAGTCCTGTTAAAACTAAGTGTACCCTTACTGCTTGTATATGAATAAAGTAAGCAGCAGTGAGGTGCTGATCATCTATAAAAGCCATATTTGAAGAAAGCCAAGCATACACAAATGCTGCATGGTGGTGGAGAGGTGATATAGATTTGTTGTGCAGCATATCTTGCAGTCACCAACTCAACCATGAGCTCCTCTGCATACCAAAGTATTTTAGAGTCACATCTGAGGGGTTGGCTAGATCTGGGGATTGGTAGGCTGCATCCTGGGATCACTGCTGCCTATGGGGGGCATCTGTCAGCCCACACTTCAGAGGGTGTGTATTGTAGGTGGTCCTACAAGCCACTGAATCATGGGGTACACTTAGTTTTTCACAAAACTGCATTCTGTGACATTTATCAATGACTGTGTCTTTCTTTCCCTCCCGTATGGTCCAGGATGATGTAGATCGTGCTTACTATGCTGTGTTTGATGGCCATGGAGGGGTGGATGCAGCAACCTACGCTTCCACTCACCTCCATGTTGTTCTAAGTAAACAGGAGATGCTGCAGAGTGATGCAACCACAGCCTTTAAAACAGCCTTCAAACGCACAGATGACATGTTCAGAAACAAGGCCAAGAGAGAGGTACTGAGAAAGCAGCAGCGCAGCATCTTGAGCACAATGTTTTCTGCTGACATTTACATGCTATAGTACTCAACTTGGTGTGCTGTCTTGCTCCGTCTTTTGTCTTTAAATTACACTTGTGTGTGCTGCAGCGTCTCCGGAGTGGCAGTACAGGAGTGGCAGTACTGATCCAGGATCAAGAGCTGACTGTTGCTTGGCTGGGAGACTCTCAGGCAATACTGGTCAGAGATGGGCATGTTGTTAGACTCATGGACCCACATAAGCCAGAGAGAGAGGTAAGAATCCCACATACAAACACACAACCTCTGCTGCCTCAAATTTCATGCTATGTTGTATTCCAAAATGGGAATGCAGATAAAATATTTGAAAAGTTTATTGCGTGATATGGGTCAAACATTCCTCAGAGCTCTTTCTCACACACTCTGTGTGTGTGTGTGTGTGTGTGCGTGTGTGCGTGTGTGTGTGCGTGTGTGCGTGTGTGTGCGCGCGCATGTGTGTGTTTTTTAACTATTACTAACAAATGCAGTTACTTCATGTGAAGTTAAATTACTCATGCACTTATTTTTACATACTCACATATAATGGTGAGAAGCAAGCCAGAAGCTAAACTCCTTCTCTGATGTGTTAAACTGTCCAGGATGAGAAACAGAGAATTGAGGATCTTGGAGGCTGCATTACTTTCATGGGTTTCTGGCGTGTTAATGGCACATATGCTGTATCGAGAGCCATAGGTAAGTCAGTCCCAACTCACAAAACCACAGAAATGTAGATGTGATTTGACTGGCTGTATCATATAGTAGTTCTCAAAGTGTGACCTTAATTGACCTCCACTGCTACATAAACTGAGGTTGCTCATGTTAACTGAAAGTAAACGACAAACTTGGTTCCAAAAAAAGTTGAAACAGTGTGTAAATTGTAAATTAAAAGGGAAATCTAATGATTTGCAAATCTCATTAACTCATATTTGCAATCGGTGTTTAGATATTTAGAAAATGTACCATTTCATATATATAAAAAACTCATTTTAAA